TTTTTTTTAACTTTGCTTTGACAAAATCTCCCGGCATGTTTTTTCTATTAAAACGTACTGTCCCAAGAGCATTTGTTCCATTTTCAACTAAAGTTAAAAACAGTTTCGGCGAAGAATACCAATTATCTATATACAAAGTGTGTCCCTTATGTAGTATTGATAACGTTACTTGAATATATTTTAAAATTATAGCAATAGTCCGATGCTGACTCGCACAGTTTATAAAATTTTATCCCGAATCTCGCCCTCTTCGAGGGATTAAATTGTTTATAAGACATGCGTCCCTTAAATTTCATTAACGATTCATCGATCGCGATGTTCTCTTCCATTACATATACTTCTTTGAATTTTTTATTAAAATAGTTTATCACAGGTTTAACTTTACGTAATTTATCCATCTCGTCAATCGTATTTATTTACAAAATGGAAAAACCTAGTGATTTGCAAAAATCTTTTCAGTGGCATAGCTTTCCTGAATATCGGCTCTTTTAGACCAGTTCATTCATCTGAATTTTTGGTTTTTTAACTTGAGCCATTATTATGCATAATGCAAAGTATATTTTAATTTCATTACAATTTACAGGGATCGAAGTTCATTAATTTTCTTTCTTTTATTTCCATTGATTATTGTTTATCCTACTGATTCGTTTCCGTGACAATATTATCCCAAAACATAGTGTCAAACATATTAAAAAAGTCTAACTTTCTTCTACTTCTGCCTAACTGATCTAAAATTGCTACTCTTATGCATATACTCCTAGATTTTTGGCTTGTTATTTTCTTCTTTCCAAATCCAAAATTGCTTCGATAATTGATGATTGATACTGTCTTCGTCATCGGTGTCATCTTCAATGATTAATTTTCTTGGACGTTTTCGTACAGGAAACACAATATCGCTATCATTATCAGAAGGATCTACCGAATCACTATCCGCAATAATAACACACTTCTCACTACTTTCATCAATATTAGCCCTTTGCACTCGGCACCGTTTCGGACGTTACCTACCAACAACTCGACGCCA